AATGCCAAAATGTTTTCAAACAGCCGACAAGATAAAAGGAACAGAGCTTTAGTTATGACGAATTTATTTTGAGACATTTTTAAAACTTATAATTAATCAGATTTATCAACAGGTCAATTAAATTAGTCATAATTTTATCAACCATAGTAAATTCCAGACTCTTCCGTTTGACTGAGATATACAAAATGGTATACAAAATACAAAATACATATCTTACACAAGTAAGATAGGTTGAATATAACAAAAAAACTATGAACCAATAAAAAAAAAAAATAATTACTCATTTAAACTAATTGCAGAATATATAATTAATTGATCAATTCCGTCGGTTAAAATACCTATTTATGTTTTCACAATTCCATTAAATAAAATTATAATTTTATGAACCAAACTGATTATAATACCATCAATCGAGTTGAATACAATAGTTTGATGAACAAAGAGGACCAATTGCACTAATCATATAACTACACTAAATGTAAATGCTATTTTGCCTTGAGGAGATTTTCTGGTCTAGAGACATGAATTTTATGTGATTTTTGAAAGGCTATAGAAAAGCAAATAATGTTACTATATTTTTTTCAAGTCAGTTAAGAGTATTATAGTGCTATAAAAATTCTGCTGATTAGTTTTTGGAAAAGATTACACGATCCGTTTCTTTGTGATTAATTGTTGAACATTTTTTTGGATTTTGATGAAGTTCCTGTTACGAATGAACATTCTAAAATACTATAGTCCTACAAAATGTGGTGTAATTATAAAAATTAATTAAATTTTGAAACAATGGGTTGCGTCAAAGATTCGAAATTCCGTTGTCACAATTTTAAAACTTAGCCATCTCAATTTTATTGATTGTCGATTATTTACAGCTGTCATAAATTCTGGCAAAGGGGTTTATTCTGGTCTAGAATTTTTAAGAAACTGATTTTCTATTTCTTGGCTATTTTCAAAGTGTAACTGTCCAAGAATATGTGTACAAGAGGATTTTCCTAAATTTAAATTCTGTTCTTTTCTCCGCGAAACTTTAAACGCGTTCTTCTCGAAACTGTCTTTTTCAATATCCACAATTTCTCAACTTCTACTGGAACGATTTTTTTGAATCTTTTTTATTGATTTTCTCTTCAGCAAGAATTGATGGAAACAGCAATCAATGTTTCGAAAATGTAAAAAAGATATTTTTTTTTAAATCATAAAGTTTTAATTCTAGTATATGATGAAGTTGTGAGATCTCAAAACATTGGCATCTGACCATACCCATGACTTTAGCCTTCCAAATAATTTGACAAAAAAAAAGTTATATATTATTAATTTTGAAAAATGTAGCAAATGTATGAACAACGGACAAATTAAAAAAAAATCACTAAATAGCGGCTGTCTCAAAAAAAAAATATAACTTTTTCTTATATTATAAAATTTTGTAAAACTAATAAAATCGGAATTTGCGAGTAAACGTAGTTCTTGCTAAAGAGAAAATCTATAAAAAAGATTCAAAAAAAATCGTTACAGTAGAAGTTGAGAAATCGTGAGTATCGTATCGAAAAAGTCAGTTTCGAGAAGAACGCGTTTAAAGTTTCGAGAAAAAAAACAGGGTTTTAATTTTGAAAAATCATCTTGTACTCATATTCTTGGATATGTAACACACTGAAAATATCTAAGTATAAGAAAATCGATTTCTTAAAAATTCTGGACCAGAATATACCTCTTCGCCAAAATTCTCCATAGGTGTAAATAATCGACTTAATCAATAAAGTTAAGAATGAGATTGCGAAGTTTTAAAATTGTGACGGCAGAAATTCGAAATTGCGGTGCCTCTCATTATTTCAAAATTTGAATTGAAAATTTGAGTTGAATTTTTATAAATACACAACTTTTCGAAGGACTATAGTATTTTAGAATGTTTAATCCAAACATGAACTTTCTCGTCGCTCTAAGTATCATCAAAAACTTCAAAAAAAAATTGCTCAACAATTAATCACAAATACACGGACCGTGAAATCTTTACCAAAAACTGATCAGCAAATTTTCATAAGACTATAATACTTTAGAATGTTCATTAAGACTATGAACGCTATCAGCAACATTTCGTCAAAACCGTTCAAAAAAAAATGCTAATAAAAAACTAATCTACATAGAGTTATACTTTACTAACGTTTACATAAGACTAATAATGGGCACCGCAGCCACATAACAATTTGTCATTATGTATAAAAAACGCAGCGTAGCATAGCCTTGCCATAACATGGGGTTATTTTTTAAGGCAAAATCGGCCAATAAATGTTTGAATGATTCAGCCATTTTTTAGATAACATTGACAAATTCTCAAATTTTAGTTCACACACACACATATTACTTACAATTTCAATGTAAAAGGATTCACAATTATTTAGATAATGCCTTCGAGAAAACATAAAATCAGCAAATCGGATTCTCGGGTGAAAACAAACTCTTTGGAATATTAATAAGGGCATTTATTTGAATAATCGAGACAATAGACTAGTATGACTCATTGACTACCCATGACCAATGTAAAAACATTGGTCAATTTGTGTTATTAAAAAACACAGCAAAAATAGCCGTCAACTTTAATATTATTGTAGATTAGAAGAATAAGATATTCACGCTTTTAGAAGGAAAAGTCGTCACTGTCTCGTCTGTTTTTGCTATGTAAAATCTAATTTATTAACTAAAACCCAACGCAACAATTTAGGATCAACAAAATACTGTGTATTCACTATAAAATCAGTATATGAGATTTTATGGCGAAAACCAACTTCTCCATTAGCTTGGACACCTCATTCCGTAAAATAGAAGCGTAGTTCTTATAAACGGTATTTAATTTAATTTTGAAAATGACTGTCAATGTTTGTACCTGGCTGAAACTTTCTGTCCGAGGACATAGACGCCATCGTTTCATATGTAAGGTTTGTGAAGTTAATATGTCAATTAAAAACCATCGGAACAATAAGAACCCACAAATTATTAAAATGCTTAACAATTAACTAAACAGGAATTAAGAAATTAAAACAGAAACTCGTGACTTTAGTAGATAAGTATACTTATCATACATGGTTGAAAATATTAGTCGATTTGACTGGACACCATTTATCGCTAAATGTTTCAAATGAATAGTACATAAAACGATCGGCCATTACACAAAAACGTGTCTCAAAATAATTTTCCAATAGCTAAGGTTCATCTAACAAATATCATTCTACACTTCATCAGTGCAGCTACATAATGTGATGTCTAAAAATTTACCTTGTGCCGCTTTATCATTAATCCATTGATTTCTCATTTTAACTATAATCAGACACTTGTTTTAAAACACTCACTATTTAAAACACTTTGTAAACTTTGTAAACACAAACACATAATATCACTCGAAGAAATTCGTTGACGTACTGTACCCACGCGTCTGTTGCACTGAAGACGCGCAAACCGACGTGAAGTTGTGCAAATTATATTGTTGGCAGGCCTTATCATGGCCACAGTTTCAACAACTGTTAATTGAAAAGGTAGGGTTTAGGTAATGGATACTTATTATGGTTTAAATAAATGATGATAGTAGAATAGTATA